AATTTCTGTATTTGAAGAGTAAGACTAAAATAGCATTGTTTCTAGTAGGTTCCTTGACTAACTAGTGAAGAAATCCATCTTGAACAGTTTCCAAAAACCTTTCTCCCTCATGGTTTGATTCTAGAATTTCCTAATCTATATTCCTGAAATCAAAATCACCCATAATTATGACTTCATTAACAGCTGAAATCTTAATCTCACTGTAAAGTTTCTCACTAATTTCATCAGTATCATTTGGTGGTCTGTAATAAATTCCCACTAAATGCCTTTTCCCTTTATACCCACTAATAGAAACCCCTAATGGATTCAATCTCTTTGATATTCTCAATTTCAACATTATGTAACTCACATTTTACATATTAAGCCACTCCTTCCAACAACACTCTATCCCTATTAAATAGCCTGTAACCCCGTATTTGAAAGAAATTTCTATCATTAAAATCATCTACGTTTAACCATGTTTGTTATTCCCATTATATCAAAATCCTCCATTCCTACCAATGCTCTAAACTCATCCATTTATTTTCTTATACTTCTAGCATTACAAGGTAACAATTAAGCCTATTCTTATAACTACTTCTATACTCATTTCCTATGCTAAACTTTTCTCTGGCTCTTATTCTTTTTGCATTTAGTTATTCCTGGCTCTCAGCACTGTCTAGTCCTAGTTTAAAACTTCCCTTTCAGTTGAGTTAATAACCCAAGCAAACAAGCCAGCCCCTACCCTATTTAAATGTAAACCATCCATTCCAAAAAGCTCCTTTCTTCTAATGAACTAATCACATAAGTCCAAACAGCTAATCTGTTCATCCTTACATAATAACCTAAGCCTAGAATTTAGCCCTAGTAACATTTTTAATACGGATGTTTAGGAATTTCCTTAAATTTCATCATCAGCGTTAATATCCACCAAAAAAGTCAGTTCATAATATTCGAACTACATAAAACAATCTTAGCATTGAGCGAGTTTTCGTATTGGATCGGAAATTTAAAAAGAACAGATTCGAACTGTAAGAATACAATGTCTGTAAAACTCATGAATAAGTAACTATTATCAATTATAGAATTTAAATACATTGTTAGGTTTTAAATGTTAATTTAAATACTAAAACGTTCTTTAAGTTGAATTATATGTAATTACGACAAATAGTTATTACAAACAAAGATTTATATAAACAAAAGTCACAAACTTACAAACAATACAAAATCTTCTTTCTAGTTTGGAACTCCCTTGATATCTTATCGAGGGTTTTCGATGGGCGAGTTAATTTCAAGCCGATGTAGATACGATTCGCCAGGAAACTAGCTAGCTTTGTCCTTTGCCACATACACTGAACTGTTGGTCCATTGAAGTAAGGTAACGTTTTCGTAAAAATACTGTTACGTCTCTGGTCGTTTGTTAATTTCCGGTATCCAGCTTAGCAGATTTGATGACAGCAAAAGAAACTAGAAGAACGAGAAAATAAACAAGAAGAGAGACTTCAGCAGTTGTTGGAGGAGAAAGAAAATGAACAAGAAGAGAGACTACAGCAGTGGCTGGAGGAGAAAGAAAATAAACAAGAAGAAAGCCTCCAACAGTTGAGAGAAAGCCAGCATACACAAATGTAAAAGATGAGTAAATTTCAAAGTTAATTAAATACATTAAAGGACGATTTACTGTCTTTTACAGAAGGAGAATATTGCTACCTCTCTGGTCGTTCGTTGGTTAATTTTCCAAAGAAATTCTTTCTGAAAAACTTCAGCAATACAAGTCCTTTCTTAAATAAAACTAGTTTATTCTTTTTCAATGCAACTTTGCAATACACTTAATTTCCACAGTCACTTTAACTTAAACACAAGCTATAATTCACAACGATTCATGCGCTTTACTTAACCATGCTTGACTCAATTGTCGGTCTCTATCTCTGCCTGTCTACAATTCAGTTCATTATCTCGCATTATTTGCCTGCTTATATACAGGAATAGAGGGCGTCTAGCAAATACTGGATTATTCGTGATGTTCCCCGATCCTTCTAGATACTCATTATGTGTTACCAGCGTCACGTGACATCTGCTGTCGTAACACTGCCCCTTCCTTAGTATTGTTCATCCCAAACAATAGCCACTTACATTAAACCAATAGTGAATTTACAATAACTTAACTAAATGTACAGAATTTACAAATACAAAATTAAAATTCAACAAAGTATCTTAATATTATGGGACATATCTTCTGTACTGGTCTCTGATTGGTTGGCTTCTGCTTCACATAAAGTTCATCTGCTCCATCAAGAAATGTCCTATTATCGGTAATATTCACATCAGTGGCTTCACTGTTTCCCTTCTCAAAACCGAGTAGAGTTTCATCTTCGACAGTGGCTTTTCCAGGTGACACGTCTTCGGTGGCGTCTTTTCACTTTGTTCCAACTGAGATGTCTTGGACCATAATAATACTGTTACGTCTCCGTTTGTTAATTAACTTCCCGTAACTTCGTTCCGACGAAACTTTAGCGACACAAGTCCTTACTTAATAAAACTGGTTTATTCTTTCCGAATATAACTTTACGATACACTTGTTTTCAACAATCGCGCTAAAACAAACGCTATATCAACGAACGTTAACTTCAACAATACGTCTCTCTCTGACTGCAGTTCAATTACTCATTACCTACACACACATTACCTTCTTCTCCCGTCACGTTGTCACCCTCTTTTATATACCAGACTACCCTATATCTAGTAAATACTAGAGCATTCGCCAAGGTACGGGATAGTTCTAGAAACGTGGCGTCACACTAATCATGTGACTCGCTGACGCAACACATCCAATGAATCTTTAATTATTCACTTTATCCAGTTCGTCTTAAAATAGGCTACTTCATACCAGGCTTTATTTAAGATTTCATAACCTTTTCAAACAGACTACCTTCAGGATTTAACGTTATCTTAAAACATCTTAGACACATTTTTGAAGTATGAATGGAACGTAGAAGCTCTGTAGTTTTCATTAAATAGTCAACAAATTCAGTACATGACTGTGTAAAGTGTGTTTTGACGATGAGCACGCACAGCTGGAACTTTCAAGAGAGTTTGACGGAAGGAGAGTACGTGTTAGTGTTACAAAAATGAACAAGACTGGTGAAAACAGTAATAATGAAAATTTTCTTTCTTTTTTTTTTCAAATTACCTTTATAAATAATAAAATAGGAAATCGAGAATATTTTAGAAACAGAAAGTATTAAACCAAGCGACTGCCTGCAAGCATAATTTTTCCAAAGATCGTTTTGTCGTCTGCACTATTCTTGGACAACACTATATATATAATACAGTACTCTAACAAATTTTGCATTTTGATTTTTTATTATCCAACGGCCCGGCATGACCAGGTGATTAGGGCGCTTGACTCACAATCTGCGGGTGGCGGGTTCGAATCCCCTTCCCACCAAACATGCTCACCCTTTCAGCCGTGGTGGCGTTATAATGTGACGGTCAATCCCACTATTCGTTGATGGTGATGACTAGCTACCTTCCCTCTAGTCTTACACTGCTAAATTAGGGACGGCTAGCACAGATAGCCCTCGTGTAGCTTTGCGCGAAATTCATAACAAACAATAATAAACAGTTATTATCCAACAATATATACTTATTCCTTGATAATTATGATCACAACAAATAGGCTGCCAGCCCAGATACCCCTCAATCAATGTAAAACAAGGCAAGTGATTGGATCGATGTCAGACACATGACAAAATTTGGCTTAAGTACTTTGCATTGTCGCAGTGACGCACTTTGTTCAGTAAAACTTAATCGCTGAACGCACTTATTTTAAAATAATAGACTGTAATAAATTAATCTTCAAACTCGAGAACACAATTCATTATATTCTTAAAACCTGATCTTAATTCTCAATCACATGTACCAAACAATGAGTCATTCTTTTATAAGTTTTATTTGTGCAAACACATACATTCTTGCCCAAGTAACAACAAAGTAAGGTGAACAGCCCTTATATGATACATTCTTTTCAAATACATCAGAAAAATTTACCTCGATACTGTTGTTTCTATATCTGGTCATTTAATGCTAACATCATAAGGTCAGTACGATGCTTAAATGCTAACAATACATTTTGTTAATTATACGCAGCTGGTCTTGTGTGGACAGTAAAAGCCAATAAAAACCTTAAGAATCAAATAATCAGTGCGATTCCCTTAAATAGAGAACTTTGTATATGGATATATATAGATAGAAACACTTTATAATCATAAAACAAACGATGAATTGATTAAAAAAAATAAATTTCTGTTTAGAGCACGAAAAGGGATTTTGTAACGTGTAAGATCGTAAAATATAGTTTTGTGTACTACTTTGTAAACATGAGTTGTGCATGAGTGTGCGACAACTACTTCCTACGGTAAGGCTGGATCTAATACTTGTGTTGTTTTTTTTGTTGTGGTTGTTTGTTTTTTTTCTGTTAGTGACGTAATGCAACTTTGAATTTGGTCAAGGTTTAGTCTTACGAAGAAATGCCAGCAAATAACTGTACTTCTTGAAATGTACGTGAGCTGACGTAAAAGGTAGTCTAGATATAATCTAGGGAAATGTTGTATTTCCATAATTTACACTTACTTGTAACTGGGGAAAACAACACTAGATCACTCATAGATTTTTTTAAGCCATAACAAAATAGGGCGAATAAAAAGCTACACGTTTTGTTTGGTTATTGCTAAGCGCAAGGCTACACATTGAGTTATGTGTGCTGTTCTCACCACGGATACTGAAACCCGATTTCTAGAGTTTTAAGCCTGCATACTTACCGCTGAGCCACTGCTGATTTATCTGCTATATTTTGACTAACGTTATTCCGTATGAACTGGAATTGTTAGAATTAAAAAATGTATACTTATAATGATTTTTCACAATTATTGACTCTAATGAAACCAAAAATGTCAGTCCCCTTTATCAAAGGGGAAACTTTCTGGTTAGAAAATAGTTCTGTTTCTAATTCTTTTCGTTGTTGTCACCATTTTGCCAAACCTTCTCTCTAGTCATTTCTACGTTTATTTCGTTTTACTTATCTTTATTCCCTTCATTCTTTATATTCAGTCTCCCCATCGCTGTAAGAGAAAAAGTGGTCAACATTTCGGCCAAATGGTCTTCACCGGGACTGGAATTATGTATAAATTATTCAGACGCTCAATCAGACGATTTGAACCATTTCTTTGTATTAAGTCCAGTTTGTTAATACTTCCAATATACTCTTTGTACCTGTACACCGTATATTATCACACATTAACTCTAGAATAACAATCAAAATTTTCAGTTGTTCCTAAACACTCATTTGTGCTGTTCATATTACTAAGCGCACGTTAAAATGCAGCACGTGAATAATACTGTTGCGTCATCGAGATCACGTGACTATTCTCACGCCCTCTACTTTCTAGAACTATCCTGTACTTTGACGAATGCTCTAGCATTTACTAGATATAGGGTAGTATGGTATATAAAAGAGGGTGACAACGTGACGGTAATATAATGTGGCCATCAGCTAACTTGGTGTTCTTTTTCCGTTTGCTTGTCATATGATCTACAGTTTCTGCAATAGAACTAAAAGCATCAGTGAAGCAAAAATAAGTCTACTAAGTTCAATTCAGTTCGAAATGTATATAATATATCTTTCAAACCAACCGCAGTATTACCACGTTTTTGTTTCTTCGGCACAACAAAAGAAGCAACTTATCTTACAAGCGATAAAATTATCAGATAGCCAAGTTATGCTTTTTTCAACAAATTATTATTTTATAAATAATTAAGAGATTTTAAGACACCCAATAATAACATTTTCAAGATATAGAAATCGATATAAATTAGTATCGTCGAGAGAGTAGTGACATACAGACCGTAGGTTATCACAATAGTGTTATCGTCTACGCACTTAAACATATCAAAGTTCGAAAAGATATTACCATTTACAAGAAAATGGTCTAAAACGATAAAACTCTTTTGGGCTCGCACACACAAATTATTGACGTTTAACATGAGATAGATAAATAAATTTTATCTGTTTTGCTAACGTGCATTATTAGGCCGTATCACTTAGTCTGATCCCATTTTGTTAACTTTCGATATCGTACTTCAATAGTAGTAGAACTAAATATACATTTGACATATAAAGATGGGCTTAGTGAAAAGATCCTTTTTTTTATGTTTAAAAAGCATATCATATCATTGCGTACATCTACATGTGTTCAGATAAACAATTTTCATGTCTTTTGTCCTAGTGCTTCAACCATAGACCAACATTTGTTCACATACCGGCAGGTTGCTTTAAACAGCTGAAAACGAGTGATGTGAAAGATACATTATTGATTTTTGTGATGAGTGCGTACTTTTCGCGCAGGCAGCCGGTAATGCATTCTGTACCGTATTGTTGACGTCAATGTCACGACTACGCAGACGCAGTTGGAAGCGTTCCTTTAAAGCTAATCTCTTTAACAGTTGGTGTTGTACGTGATGTAATCAAAGTAGTACCTCCGTCGAATGTGAGTCTTAGTGTTAAAGAACCAGTAGTATTTTAAAGATTATCTGATAATGAGTTTTGTGTCCAGTTTTTCTACCATGTCGACCCTAGCTCTGTTAACGATAAGTTCTACGGAAGCTGCCACCGCCTCTCGAACTTGTCTTTTACTGATCCTTCACCTGACGTAAACCTTCACGTGGGCACGTGCTGTTCTCTGCCTCAACGTTGAAATAAATTTGAAATACTTTTCTGTCTTCTTGACTTTCACATAGGTAAGTAAGTGTATAAACAGCAGACAGATAAATCGCCCATTTTGTAAAACGAAGAAAACACATTCGTAGAAAAAAAATTTTTAATCACACGTGAATATATTTTAAAATTATTTTTCCATAAAAGGTATTATAAGATTAAGAGACTTCATATTCGTAGATCAAAATGCTTTAATTACCATGTTAGAAGTATAGTCTTATTTAGAGGCGTCGCTAGGTCTTAAAAGATTCGGGGCTTGGGCCCATAGGCGCAGGAATTTTCGGCGTTTCAGTATGATATCAACCAACTGGCGATTCGGAGCATTGTCAAGTAGACTCAGGGCACAGGCCCCATGTACCAGTGCCTAGCGAAGCCTGTAATGTTATTGAGATTTTAACAGCATAAATGAAATATATATAGTTTTACTGAAAGTTCGATTTAAAACACGATGTTGATCATGTTATCGAAGGCTCTGTACTTTCGCCAATAATATAACTAGCCAACTGAGAGTTGTGACCATCACAAATATTCATTTCTCGTCAGAAAGAATTAAAGATATTCATAAATTAGGATTTCGGGATTTTTTGATATGTTATTTACATATATTTACACGCTGTTTTATTAGAAATTACTTGGAGATAAAAAAAAAAGAAGTTGGTTAGCATATTATATTTATTCGAATCCGTGGAGTTTTGAATACATTCTAATTAATTTAGTTTTCTAGGAATCTAAGGTACGGTGGCATCATGAACATTTCATGCAGTTACCTAAACATTTCATGTTTATATTGAACATTGCAATGCAGACAAAATTTTCCGACTAAACTTTCATTGCCTGATGTAGTCTTTATTATGTTGTTTTCTTTATCTTGCTTTATAATGGTTTTAACATATGCCGATTTCAAAAAAAAAAAATTAAAGCAGTTTGCCGGACAAAAACCTCCCACTGAAATCGTGGACGATCAGATCCTGTGGGATGCAGTGGATAAACGCCTCCTACCCTTTTACAAATACAATAAAAAGAAGTTGTTATCTGATTGTTGAGTTGCCACCTATCTGCCTAGTTGACAAATGCACTTAATTTGTTCATTTCCACAACATATATATGCCCCTTAAACCCCTCTTTATAGAATTTTCAATCCTTCTATAGAAATTTGGGGACCAATGATGGTGGATGCATTTCTTTTCGGGAATTTTGAAACATCGGGTTATAAAATGATTAACCATCAATGCGTGGTATGTTTTTATTGAAAAAAGATTGAAAACTAATTCTTCTTTGTATTTTGCGATAAAAAACTAGGGTATCCTAAATTAATTCTTCTTTGTATTTTGCGATAAAAACCTAGGGTATTTTAAACTAATTCTTCTCTGTATTTTGCGATAAAAACTAGGGTATCCTAAACTAATTCTTCTCTGTATTTTGAGATAAAAAACTAGGGTATTCTAATCAAAACGACTGCCCAATGTTGAAGACTTTTGTAAAATTAAGTATCGGTTCAATGACATGCTGACGTACAAAGAGACCAATTCTAAACATTTGTATAAACTCTGTTTAGAATGAAATCTCTACTGTAATTTTCTATGAGTAATTATCATAGTCACTGCTCTGCAGAAGTCATATAGTGGTGTATTATTTAACTTTATTTTTATCATGGCATTGTTTCTGCCATTTAAACAAAATTACATTACTGTTTGTAAGGACCTTTTTTTTAAGCTAATTCTCATAATTTCGCAGAAAAAAAATCTAACACATTCCTCAGAGTAATACATAAGGTACAATATCAATTATTTATTATATCTGGAGTTGTTTAATCTGTTACACATACGTTTAACAAATGGTCAGAATATTTACATACAAGATTTCTATGTTGGATAAAATTTTTAGCAGCATTGAGATAGCAGATATTATAGTTTTATATGTATTTTCTGTGAATTACATCAATATTACCATACATAAATCACGTTACTGTCTCTCCACCTATCCCATATATCTTCCCTGTACATAGAATATCTAATCGCTACTAGCTTTGCTATGCTATTACTGGTTACCACACTCGTTAATTAGTAACTGGTAGACAATGTTTTTATTTATATAATTGGATAAAATATTTTCGAAACTTATTCGAGTAATAGTCGGTGAAACTCATTTACAAAGATTTCGTGATTCAGTTTATTTTGTTTGTTGTTGTTTTTCATCAAAAACCAGAATTCTCAAACAATGTTTACTGTTCTAGTGTCCTCTCAACTAAGGCTGCTCTTCTTTTTTCTCTTCTTCTTTAGGAAAAAGCTTAAAATGCGTTTTCCTACAAATAAAATAGTAAATTTTCTTCCAAAGAAAGTAGTTTCAAACAGAAAGACACATCCTTGCCAGTTATAGAGTTTTTTTAATGCGTTATAACAATGTTACTTGACTCAATATTGCCTAATCAACAAAATTGACCTATATAGTCTTGCGGAAAGATACGTTTCAAAATTACATGAACATCAAGTGTAGTTACTATTTTATCTGAGGTTTTCACCCAATCTAAACGACATTTTTCTTCATTCGAGTTTTCATTCTAGTTCAAGAGAGGGACGTCGCAAGTGCACTTGATTCATTATTGCAGTAACTATGTCTCACTTGACTCGTTATTGCACCAAAGCGACAATTTGATAGTATTTTGTCCACTTTATGTTTATTTCGTAAAATATGCGAAGTAAAATGAGGAAACTGGGTGTTTGGTGACGTAAATATATATTTAATACCCTCTAGTGCCAAAATAACTATTCAGATTTCAAAATATTCTCGGCCTTACATTATCCTCAATTTTAAGCAGGAAGTCTTCCTCAGACAACTTGCTTCCCAACATGTTTGTAATTAATATATCTTAAAACTACATATGCTATTTTTCATGTATTCTGCCAGAAGAGAACATCTCATGCAAGTTTTGTCATATATACGCTCCATTAGAAAGGGTGAAATTCCTGTGTTATATTTATCCCTTGGTTAACATATCATTGTCTCCCTGTGAGCAGTGATAGAATAATGTAATGGCCACAAAAGACTACTAAATGATGACAACAAAACCGATACTAAGTCGTATCTCAGCACTACTCGAGAGAAGTAACCTAGCTTATCTTTCGCACTAGTGGTTCCCAATTTATTCAACCAAGCTTTGTCCAGTCGAGTGCCCCACCTCTGTTTTCTGTTGTACAAATAGTAAACTTAACAATACTGATCATGATTTTTACGCGTCTATTCGCTCATATTCTCGTCTTTGTATTTACATTTTGTTTTTCGCTATGAAATGGTACATCGCGAAATTAAATGTTCATACAGTAAACATCGTAATCAATGCGAGCAGGCTGCAACTGCAACGAAAGAATAAACATTTTTAATTATGACTGGCGAACGACGTCGGACGAATCAATCACAGAGGCTGAAAGAGTTCCCAACTTAGGTCCTTAATTTTACTAATACATTTGTTATTTATTTGTTTTGTTTTATTTAATATTTTGTTTCTTGCATTATTATTAGGAGTACATCTCGAATACCTCTAAAGGTAGGACCTTTGAATAGCCCTGGGTAGGCCCGGCGACAGCAATTCCGGGCCCCAGAGCAGAACAGTCAGTGACCCCTAAAACGGGACTACTGAATGTAATGACGTTTTTATCCTATTAATAACAGCAGGAAAAGCGTAATTATTTTTATTGTAAATCTTAATTCTAAATTTTTTAAAACGTATCTATCCCATCCGCCAAGGTCCCTTTAAGTCGCTTGGCTCCTGGGAAGTTGCCCTCTTTGCCCCCACCCCCCACCCCACCCACTGTCAGTGGACTCACTCTTGGGGAAATAATATGCCACTGAATACGATGAACGTTAATATTTTGAGCTACTTTTCAGACTTAAATATATGCTGTTTTCATCAGAAAAGGCGTAAAATAAAAACTTTTGGTTTATTAATGTAAATGATTTTGTTAATATTGTTCTTTGTTCACTAGAGGAAGCTGTAAAGCTCTAAAGATTGCCTTTGAAAATCTTGTGTAGGTTATATTGTCATAATATATTTAGTTTATGGTCATAAAAGAGATGGATATCATCCTTGTAAACACGAGAATTCTAAGATGCGAATTGTAATGAATGAGCACATAATGTAAGTTTTACAATTCCCTCAAAGTATTTCTTAGTACGTTTGATATATTTGTGGTCAGTCAGCCTGTAAAATAGTCTTAGGGTAAGTACAAAAAGATTGCTAATTAGATAATTCCTTAGTATTATATGCAGATTTGTTACATTAATATAATCATATTTGTTCCTCACTACAGATTACTCTGTAAAATGTATATTACAATTATAAGTAAATATAACCTATTAATTGCATAGCAGCAATCGTTTAGATATAATGTATTATATAAAGTATTTCGAACAGAGACTAGAAGCCAACAAGAAAATAAAACAAAACGCTTTTCGTACACACACCATGGAAGATATAAACCATTGAAACGAGAGTGTAGGGCCTTTTTGTATATTAGCAGTGGTCGGCTCAAAATAGGCTCGCCAACAGCAAAGCTGAGATAATCTCTGGAGCCCTTTTCAATGATCTTTTGTTACTTAAAGCGGGCCCATTGATCTCTGGCCGCATTAATCCTGATAATTCTGATAATCCTGAACTGCCACTGATTAATCACTTTTTGTTTTTACTGCACCATAATATTTGGCAAAGTTATTAGAATTTCTCGACAGTACATAACATACGTGAATTACATGCATCGATGACAAATGCGTGTAATTTCAGTGACCGTATCGCTTTACAGGCCGTATTACGAACATATGTACAAACATGAAGTATGAAACTCACTACAATATCATCAAATAATTTGTTGAATTCCTCACCATTAGAGGGCGATTTAAAATGCCGTCTCACTTAATCAATAATTAATTTTGTTTTTATATTAATTTAAAGCTAATTTAATCAACTATAACTTAGAATGAATTGTGTTAGATTAATTATTGCGAAACATATACACGTATTGCTTTTTCTTAT